CAAATGGTGAAATGAAGAATATACAGCTAACATATCATATATATATACTTGACAATCACTTACGTCGAGGAAGAAAAAATATAATAAGTTTTCTGCCTATTGATCATATTGCACTTCTTCTTTCCATATTCCCAATATTGACTCATGTTATTCTATTCATTCTATACTTTAAATCATGACTTATAATAGCACTCATGTAACATAACAGTAGATTGCTTTGAGCTAAAATAACCATAAACCGAAAAGAGATTCGCAATATATTCTTATGATAATATTTGCGAAGTGAATAAACAAATACTTTTCAAAGTGGTACACCAATGCGAAGTGATTTTACGATAGAATAATCACAAAAATAATCTTATAAGCATGTGATGAATCCAATTAAGATATCATCAAAATTTGTTCTTTTATGTTTGACATTTGTATGTTGGACTTGTTTAAATGGTTTCTTTATGTATTGCAAATGCAAGATATCGATGTAATTCATTCACTTTTAGGAGAAACGATGTAGTATATTTTTCTTGTTTGTTGAATTCACTTTCGATAGGACTTGCTTTGCAGTTGTAGGTGGTACGCTTACTTTACTTTGCCATTAGGTAAATAAAGTAAAGTAAAATAAAATAATTACTTATTTATTAGTAGATTGTAAATATATATATACCTACATAAAACAAAAATATTATATAAATTGGATTCAATTTATCTGATAAATATTGATGTAGACACTTCGAGATACACTCATCATCTAGACATTGGAAATTAAAGGAACCCCTTGAATGTAAAGAAATCAAGCTATATTCAGTTTTTGAAACACCCATATCGAAATTTTGTGGAACTCACATATATTTTCGAAAAAAAATAGTGAGTGCAATTTTCAACTCGAAGGGTGTGGGTGTGGGTGGGTACCCACACCCTTACAAGGAGAAATCCATCAGATTATCATTACAGTATCAGCAGAAGTGAATAAAATTATTTTTTTCATTATAAGAAGAAATTCTAGTAGAAATGGATTTCCTCAAGCAGAAATCTAAATATTTCTATCAGAAATCCTTCATCCATTTTAATGTTAAATGAGGAGAAGTGAAAAACGAAAAACAAGGTGTGGAGTAGAGATTGGTAGATGTATATACTTGTATTCTTTCGTTCTGTTTCTCCTAGTTGAAGTATTTCTTTATGGTAAATTAAACGTAATAAATATGTTTATATTCTTTTTTTTCCATTTCTCCTTGATACGTGTAACTTTTTGTGGGGTAAACCATTTCTCCATCGATTGATCCAATCGTCTACTGCTGAATTTGAATGGCTGGAATAGATTTGCAAATGTTCTAAAAAGTACAGTTTTGAATTTTTGCGCAGATAAAGATTTATATTCAAGATGCCAAGAATGATATAATAACCAATATCAGTGTTTGTGAACTTGTCAAGATATGGACAGTCAGTGACAAAAGTATAAGCGAATTTGTATGTTTGTTTTATAACTCAATTTATCTATATAAATTTTTCATAATTAAAATAGTTTTTCCCAGCGAAAATAAGTTGTAGAACTTTTTAGTATTCCGCATTTCTTAACATAGAGATTTATGCTAAAATAAAAACATAATAGACCAGTTGATAGAGAATTTCACACTCTACTTGTATCTAAAAGTAGATCCATTCATAGAGTTGATTTTCGCCGTAAAAACTTGATTGTAACAAGAATAGACGGAGAAAATCTGAACAAATGAAATTAGTTCTCATAAATTCTCTCTTATCACATTTTATTATATATCATTGAAAAGAGCATTCGAAACTGAATTAATTGATGTATTGAGTGTGGATTTATCAGCAGTTATTCAGATCCACCTTTTTGAAAAAAGTTTCGGAAAATATGGCAAACTATTCTTTTTTTAATTGTTTTGACGGAAAAAAAAACAGTACATGTTTTTCCGACTCTTCCTAGTAAAACCAGATTTTTAAGGTGGGAATTAACTCTGACAACAGAACTTTTTCAGAAACAGATAGAGCACGAAATTTTCTGTCAATTGGTCCATTTTATTTCTAGGAAATGTAAAATACTGGAAAGTACTAATACTTGTTTTTGCTGGAGAAAAATTATTTTAGTTATGAAAAATTTATATAAATAGATGAAGTTCTCTTCTATACTGCATTATGTAATCGATCTCTCGTACTATCCATATCCTCATTTGAATGAGATCAGTATCTCTTCATATGAAAGAAAAATTGAGAAAACAAATATGATAATGGATATGTATAACCGACTTATTTTCAAGTTAAATAAATGGTTAGAATATAATTATATTAAATTAAAAATAAACAATGAGTGAATAGTCATAAGGCAAATAAAAAAATAGAAAAAAATTTCTGTTCGAAATACAGAAATAAATAAGACAGATCGCATCTCTGCCGATTGATTATCTCATAAAGCAACTATAGATTACGAGAGATTTTACTTTACGTATTTTGCATTACTATAATGAGGCTAAGGAACACATGTAAGCTCCACATTTCAGCCCCAAAATGGGCGTATTGACAAGTTTTTCATGTGCCATTCTTTGTAAGCTCGTAAATGAGGCTATTTTGTGATGGTGCTTCAAGCTACTTCATTGTAGGATCCTTTGAGTTCTCTCGATCTATTTGAAGTCCTCGAATTCCACCTTAATCGCTACTGAATTTTCAACTTTTTGATGGTGATTGCTGCTGTTTTTTTCTTATGCATATATGATCTTTTTGAGCAAGAAAGTTGTGTAATGTAGACATTTTTTCTTATTGACTGAGAGAAATGAATATTTTTCTTTACTGAATTTTCATCAAACAGATTGTAGTATTCATATGATTCGATAAGATGAGATCGAACTGGATTGAAATCTATATCTAAAGCAATATAAATGTTTGTCAACCAAGTAAAAAAATGAAATGCTTAGTTAATAGCCAACACAATACTTAGATAATTTGAATCCAATTTATATAATATTTTAGTTTTATGTAGGTAAATAAGTAATTATTTTATTTTACTTTACTTTATTTACCTAATGACAAAGTAAAAGTAAGCATGCCACCTTCAACTGCAAAACAAGTCCTATCAAAAGTGAATCAAATAAACAAGAAAAATATACTACTTGTGTTCTCCGAAAAATGAATGAATTACATCGATTTCTTGCATTTGCAATACATAAAGAAACCATTTAAAAAAGTCCAGTATACAAATGTCAAACATAAAAGAACAAATTTTGATGATATCTTGATTGGATTCATCACATGCTTATAAGATTATTTTTGTGATTATTCTATCGTAAAATCATTTTGCGTTGGTGTACCACTTTGAAAAGTATTTGTTTATTCACTTCGCAAATATTGTCGTAAGAATATATTGCGAATCTCTTTTCGGTTTATGATTATTTTAGCTCAAAGCAATCTACTGTTATATTACATGAGGGCTATTATAAGTCATGATTTGAAATATAGAATGAATAAAATAGTACAAACCAATGTTGAGAATATGAAAAGAGGAAGTGCAATATGATTAATAGGCAGAAACCTTATTATATTTTTTCTTCACCCGACATAAATTAGTGTCAAGTATATATATATATATATGATATGTTAGCTGTATATTTTTCATTTCACTATTTGTATATGACAATATTGTGTTGGATTCAAAGTATATTCTACGGTAGGATTTAGAAAAACATCGTGGATAGTGATTTCTATTAGGGGTGGGAAGTTACCGTTACCCGGGAGTTACGTTACCGGGTAATTAGTAACTCAAAAGTTACTAGTTACCGAGTAACTAGTAACGCCGGAGTTACCAGTTACCAGGTAACTAGTAACTTCGAAGTTACTAGTTACTTTTTGTAGGTAACTTGTCTAAAAAGTCGAGATATCGCTTCCTAATGACTGAATATCATCTATTCATCACTCAATTAAATTACGAGTTACTTGGTAACTAGTAACTCCTATGTGCGTTACTAGTTACTCGGTAACTCGTGAGCTGAATAAGTACTGTAATGATGGTATTCACTCATTAGGAAGCGATATCTCCACTTTTTAGACAAGTTACCTACCAAAAGTAACTAGTAACTCCGAAGTTACTAGTTACCTGGTAACTGGTAACTCCGACGTTACTAGTTACTCGGTAACTAGTAACTTGCGAGTTACTAGTTACTTGGTAACGTAACGGTAACTTCCCACCCCTAATTTCTATCGTTAGATAATAGAACTGAAACGTTTATTTCTCAGCGATGAAAATGTGTTGAACGTTGATAATATTAACGTACACACAAATTTAGTAGTACTATCTACTTCTGCAATCAAAATTGAAATTAATGAAAATCATTGAGTAATGTTGGTCACGGTTCTCGTGCAATGACTGGTCGGTATGTAAATTTCATTCGATTTTCTTCTTTGCAAATTAACAATTGTTAAAATATTGAAAAGTGTGGCTGTCGTGAATATCACTCAAATTTTTCAAAAGAATTCTCCATAGAACTATATAGTGGTATCTACTGTAAGAAATTTCCTTTCCGGCAAAAAAAAAATCATAGTTGCAATTTTCAAAAGTATACAATATGTTGATGTTTGATTACTGCAAAAATTCTTTCATCAAACCGTGAAATGAAAATTTTAATCAAAAATGGTTTTTTTTTCAATAGGATTTTTTGATTGACTCTACGAACTTCTTTGCATTAAAATATCATTTCGTTTTTTTTTATTTTTCGTCATTTCTTTAAAGGATGTTTGACAATAATATGAGACGAATCTCTCATCTCGTTCTATTCATTCGTATATCGAAAAATAGTGAATACTAGAATTTCTTTTGCTTTCGTGTTTTCAGATTGTGTTACTTTTAAGATAAGATGTTGATGCTTTTTGTGGTCGTCGTTCTACTCCTCGTTCACAATAGTCAGTGTTTGATGAACGCCACAGCCGATGTTAAATATGATCTAAACACTACTTCGATCGGTGTTTTAATATTTACACAAGACAATGCCGATTCACCGGTGAAAATCACTGGTACACTGACAGGACTTTATAGCAATGCTTCACTGGTACGTGTGAAACAAAAGAAATAATTCTAATTGATTATTCTGCAAATATTGCATTCTAGGGTTTTCACATTCATCAATCTTCACTGACAGGTAACATACCAAATTGTACTGCAGCTGGGGCTCACTTCAATCCATATAGTAAGTTCAATAGTCAATTCGAAATCACTGTTTGAGATATATATTCATCTTGTAACTTTCTTTTCTATAGACGTCGGACATGGAGCCCGGAATGGTACTATATGTACTCGTCATGTTGGCGATCTTGGAAACATACAGACGGATGAAAACGGTACAATCACAATTGATATTTCCGATTCTATCATTCAACTGTATAATAATACAGCTCGATCGATTATCAATCTACCCGTGGTTGTGCACACTCGAATGGATGATCTTGGGACCGGAACAAGTCCCAACAGTATTACTACAGGGTATATTAAAAAACTACTTAGTTGAATCTTGTATTTCTCTGATTCTTTTTTTTTCGACAGCAATGCCGGTGGTCGAATCGCCTGTGGCAACATTGAACTCCGAATGAATCCATCGGATGGATCGATTCTTCATCCGACTTTCTTAATGGTGTCGATCACTTGCCTCTTCCCATTACTCTTTTCTATGCTTTGATGACGAAAACATACTCAAGGTTATTTACTTCGGACAATTTTCTTTTTTCACTTATTATTATTTTGCTTGACGTGGGTCTTTTTAATGTATGTGTGATTCTTTTTGTCTCAATCTGCAATAAATGAGAAGAAGAAGAAGAGGTACATAATCAAAAGTTCTTCGTTCTTTTTCAGATCGCTCAATACGATGATCTCTATTATTTGAAGAACTCATTCGTAAGAAATATCCAACCAAATATGTGATAACATATCGATACTGCTATTGCTCGGCTTTACAGAGAGCGAAAAACGAAGAACTCCAGGAATGTCCAAATCAATCATTAACTTATTATGAAAGAGCGATTCGATTGAGTCGTGATGAAATACTTTTTGAAAGCTTGCAAACCATCTCAGAAGGGCCTACATATACCACTAAGATATGGTTGTGAATGTGTGTACGTGGATGCTGAGTCTTTCACGTGTAATTAGTCGATCGAATGTGCAAAAATGGTAAAATCATCGAGTACACAACTGTGAAATCATCGTTAAACCTTAGAGAACAAATAATACACCAACTGAGGAGTATGGTAGACTGTACGTAGATATCTTTTGTTTTTCTACAATCACATTCATATCCCACACTTAAATAAGAGAGATATACGTATGAAAGAATAGATTAAAGAGAACAATCTCAATTATATTCTATCGATTTCCGACACATCAAAACTCTCTCTGTCTCTACGTAATATAAATTTATCTTTTCTAAAATATAACTGTCATTTCGAGTGAAACATTAACATTTAGGTACTAGTAATCCTTGGATGATTATTGTTAGATCAACAAGAATTATTACTTTTAAAGTGGATTTCTTTTATTGAAGCGGATTAATACTAGAAAAAAAAAACACATAAATGTGATACATCGTTTTCTTTCGTTTCTTTTACTTTTCTTTTTTTTTGCATCCTCATTACTTTTGTTTCTTCGTTGGTGCGGCGTGTTAATACACCTTTCTTCATGATACTTTATGTTTATTCTTTTATTTACTCTTTGACATTCCTACATGTGCGAATCAATACTTCATTCACTAATATTTCTCGCGTATGATTAAACGTTATGCATGAATGGTATAGTTTCTAGTTTAAATATAACTTGTTTTTTTCATGTGTATGCACTTTCGAATGTTATGTTGATTAACATAATAAAAACAAAAAAAAAGAAATATCATATATTTATCTTCATTTTCTTAAAGTATTATATCGAGATATATCAATTTTTAAAGTTACTTTCTACTTTCTATTTTTGATACTTACAATTCTATTCTAATGAGTAGAGAATCGATAAGTCGACAAGATTCATTTGGTCTTACTGTTAAAGAAACAGTAGGTTATGTTTATCAGCGTTTACGTGCGGAAATTTTTGGTAATCAATCAGATACAGGATCGATTTCACATATATTCTTCGTTTTTGGTGCATCGGTATGTTTAATTTATTTAAATTAAATTGAATTCTTTTAGTTTTATTTTTCTAGGGTGATTTAGCTAAAAAGAAAATTTATCCAACACTTTGGTTTGTAAAAGAAGAAAAAAGAAAAATTTTAAAACTTTGTTTGATTTTGATTGTTTAGGTCGTTGTATCGTGATGAACTTTTACCAGAACATATTCGTTTTATTGGCTATGCTCGTAGTGAAATAACAATTGAAAAAATCTTTGAAAATGCTGCTAAATATATGAAAGTAAAAAAAGAAAGAATCTTTTATAATTTGACAAAAAAAAAAAAAAAAACTTATCAATATAAATTAGGTTAAGGAAAATGAACATGAAAAGTATGAAAAATTTGTGAAAATAAATTCCTATATTGCTGGTTCATATGATAATGGACAAGATTTTGAAAATTTAAATATTGAAGCTAATAAATTATCAAAACAAGATAGTGCACATCGACTTTTTTATTTAGCATTACCACCAAGTGTTTATGAAAGTGTTACTGAATTAATTAGTAAATATTGTCGACCAAAATCGTATGATTGAAAAATTTTTATATAATTTCATTTATTATTAATTATTTATTTTTGTAGACCAGGTTGGTTACGTTTAATTGTTGAAAAACCATTTGGTAAAGATCTTACAAGTTCAAATAAATTATCTTTACATTTAAAGAAATTTTTTACTGAAGAAGAAATTTATCGTATTGATCATTATTTAGGAAAAGAAATGGTACAAAATATAATTGTACTTAGATTTGCAAATCAAATTTTATCAAGAGTTTGGAATAGAGATTCTATTGCTACAGTTAGTATTATTTTTAAAGAAGATATTGGAACACAAGGAAGAGGTGGTTATTTCGATGAATTTGGAATTATTCGGTACGATAAAATTTCAGAAATCATTCTTAGTAAAATGAATAATTAGTAAATACGGAATAGACTTAATCAAATGAAATTTTAACGACTTCCAAATCTTATTCGTTTAGTATCTTACTAAAGTCTTGTAGTGAATTTGACGAAATGTTTCTATCAGTCATTTTCACATTTTTTCTTAAAAAGCTTATGATGAAAATGTCCTAAGAGGAAACATTCTGATGTATTGGTTCAGACTGATGCGATGGAATCTTTTTTAGTGAATTTCCACCAGTAAATTTGTTTAACATAAACACATCAACTAGAATTAGCTTGCAAGAAAAAACATTTCAAAATTTTCGAATTAAATCTTCAAGATACAAAATTTTTAAGATATTGATTTTGAGAAACACGATCTGAAAGGAGTGTTGAAGTATATAGGGTAGAAATTTGTACCTCCCCAACACATCGTGACAGACATTCCTCATGGACCGTCACAGCAGCTGATAGCCTCCTTCAAGAGACTATCAGATGTTATGTATAAGCATTTCATATTTTAATCCAGCAGGGATTGCATTAACAGCTTTTTTTTTCTATAAGTTATATATATATAGTATGTATTTTTCGAAAGATTCATATCTTGGAGAGACGTAATTTGAAACTTTCTATGAACGTCTTTATATGAACAAAGTTACAGATCAAAATTCGAAAAAATATTTTTACTACAAATACGAGATCATACGGCTCAAAGTCAATAAAAAAAAAAAGTCGTTCGATTCTCTAAGGAACAAGCCATCCACACGAACTCTATTCTATGGAAGAATATTCGATACTGTTATGATAAAATTAATAAGTTTTAATGAATTTTCTATCGAAAAATTTACATAGAATTTGTTTTTGTTTCTTTTTAATGAAAAGAGATGTAATACAAAATCATTTAATGCAAATTTTATCAATTATTGCCATGGAAAAACCACGATCTACAAAAGGTGAAGATATTCGTGATGAAAAAGTCAAATTATTACGTTCTGTAGTACCAATTAAACTCGAAGATGTTGTCATTGGACAATATATTGGTGATAAAGATTCAACAGATGTTGAACATCAACAAGGTTATTTAGATGATAAAGGTGTACCAAAAGATTCAACAACACCAACATATGCACAAGTTGTTCTCAAAATTAATAATGAACGTTGGGCTGGTGTACCATTTATTCTTCGTGCAGGTTTTCTTTTTTAATTTAAATTTATTTCGATTATTTATTTTCTCTTCTTTTTTTTTTTCTAAAAGGTAAAGCATTAAGTGAAAAAAAAGCTGAAGTACGTATACAATTTCATGATACACCTGGTAAAATATTTGATACAGAAAGTCATCCAAATACTACATTAGCTCGTGATGAACTTGTTATACGTGTTCAACCAAATGAAGCTATTTATCTTAAAATAAATACAAAACAACCTGGTAAAATGAGTTTTAATATTGAAGAAACTGAATTAGATTTAACATATGGTGAACGTTATAAAGATATTCAATTACCAGATGCATATGAACGTTTAATTCTTGATGTATTTATGGGTTCAAAAATAAATTTTGTACGTTCAGATGAATTACAAGAAGCATGGCGTATTCTTGATCCAATACTTGCCGAAATTGACAAGAAAAAAATACCAACTATTCCATATACATTTGGTAGTCCTGGAATACAGCAAGCATTTGATATTGCAGCTAAATATGGTTATATATTTCGTGGTACATATGTTTGGAAAAATGAACGATCTGCATTAACATCAAATAAAGAACAGACAAAAACTGACAATAAAAAATGATTTTATTGTAAAGTTTAAGAACATTTCCTTTCTTTTTTTATTTTAATTTATTAGATTTATCGAAATATTACTAAAAGTATCTATAATTCACGCATACTTTTTATTTTTATTTTAACATAATCATATCTTCAATAAAATTATCCATTATCTAGGATCCTTTTTTTTTTCATAATAACATACGAAACCCAAAATCTCTAGATATGACTGTAATAGTAGAACATAATCTTTCAAAAACAAATGATAATAAAATACATGGTGGTTCTACTTCAACTTTATGTGAATGTGGATATTGATGAGAAACTTTCCGAGTCGCAATGCTGCTTCCATGTTCTTTGGTTTTATCGGCGGATTCCTGCGAGAAATTGATCAGATGCTGCAGGAAGATCATCGTAAACGGTCGGTTTCGAGAGGAATCAGAAGTCGAAATGACCGACGTGGGTTTTGAAACGTAGAAAAATATCCAACAAGATAAAATAGTATATAATTAAACAGAAATTTTATCAGCAAAATCAGAGATTAATATGAGGGTTTTTATTAATAATTTTGATTTTTGATGCTTGTGACGTTGATGTCATCAAAATCTTATGATATAGGCTTTTAAATATTTCATTTTGAACTATTACTTTGTGGATCACTTATTGTAATATGAATAGTATCTTTTAATAAAAATAATCCATTAGAATACACCGTATATTTTCTTGATTAAAAAATATATCACATTAAAATAAAGAAAATCAGAAAAATCAAGCAAAACAAAAAGAAATTGAAATTATTATGACTGAAGTTAAATAAAAGATTAGTTAGTTTGAATAAAATTAGTCGAAAAACATAAAAATATATAAGTTCAAACTCATTGACAGATTCTTCATAGAGAATATAATATTGAGTAAGAAACTGTTTATGAATTTTGTCGAAAGGATAGTGAAAGTAGACAGTTTAAATATTTAAAAAGCAGAAAATAATCGTTTATAATTATCACCGAGATTTATTTATTAGACTATCATTTTTCCATGAATTCCATTGATCAAGAAAAACTACTTATCAACACAAAGTTATTTAGAGTAACCAATATAAAATTAGAATTAAAGAATACGGTTTTGATCTAATAAAAGCATTCCGATATTACAACTAATGAAATTATTCTATGTATGAGCTGAGGCTTTTGCTCGGTTATCCCATTGAGAATTTATGATCAAAGAAAGTTATAGCTGATGTAATGAGTCATACGCAGTTTCACCTTAAACTAGTTCATACTGAGACATGTATGATTTTATCTTCAAGATAGAGAAAAGCCACTGCAAATACAAGAATATGTATTTCAGTAAGCAAAATAATAGTCATAAAGATTTTGTAATTGTTACAAGCTATTCAATCACATAGACTGTAAGAATTACTAATGAAGAAATACGTGTAGTTGTTCTTGATCAATGGTACTCAGATAATAGAAATGACTCAAAAGAAGAATTTGAGTTTTTAAATAATCAAAGTTTAGAAAAGTCCTCAATAAAATAATCTCAATCGAAATTATACTCAAAACTGAGACTCAATAATATTCAAAATAACAAATCTTACTTATAAAAAAATGAAATCAAAATACGTCATCCTCTAACTAACATGATAATTCATTAAGTTTCTAGATTAATCTCATTGTTAAATATCATTATTATATATCTGAACTACACAACAGTCGTGGAAGATTGTCATAAGTTGTATCAACAAGTTCTTCCTCATTCACTAATTCACCTGCACCAGATATCAATGGTAAAGCTAAAGCAAAAAAAAAACATTATAACATCTTTCAATATAAATATTTTACTTGGTCTTTCAGCCAAAACATCAATTTCAACCTGAATCAATATTCTATCATCTTTAACATAATGATTTTCATTTTGTTCGAATAGATCAAGAGGGAAGAATTTTGAAAAACCATAAGCAATATTCATATTGCTTATTGGACATTGAAAAGCAATTGATTTTGTATCGGGCCAAAAAAATTTCGACTGATTATTATTCGGTGATAGATGATTAAGTAAAGTAAATGTTATTTTAAATTCAAATGGCCAACGAAGAACATCATCATAATTACCCTGCATTAATACAAAGAATAATGACATATGTGTACCTTTTGCCTTCGCATCTCCATTTAAAAATAATCTTAAACAAATTCTATAACCATTTGAAAATGAATAAAACGAAGACGAATAAATAGATTTTTGTTCATCAGACGCAGAATTATCTAATAGATCAATAAAAACAAAAGTTTAAAAAAAGCTATTTTACTATATACTTCTCATATCAGTTATATCGGGAATTTCCCATATACATATACCATTCAAAGACATAACTGATACATCTGAATTCAATGAAGAAATATTTTCATTAATCTACAAATAACGACACACAATTATTTGAAAAAAAAAATTATTAGTTGTATATCTACTTCTTGATTATCAATGAAACCAGTGATTAATTTATAATGATCATGTTTGAAATGTCTCTAACAATAAAATAGAAAATAAAATTCTATTAAAAAATAATAATAATCAATATTTTATACTTGATAATCTTTCAGTGATCCTGTCCATTCACAATTTGAGCAGTATATAGATAAATTTTGCATTTTCATTTGTGAATTTCGAACCAACAAAACCTGGAAAAATGAATATAAGTAATATAGAAAAATGATACACATAACTTGTTATATGTACTTTATCGCGTAAGACCGCTTTAAAACATATTGTACAACTAATATTATTAAGAAATATATGTTAATAGAATAACAATGAAAAATATTTACCTCTTTCGAATATTTACACATACTTTACATTGTTGATGTCCACATTCAAGTTGATAAAGTTGTAGATAAATGAACTTACATGACGAACAGATAAAATATGGAGCAATGTCGTTAATATTTTTTGCAGGTAAACCATGTAAAGATGTGAATGCACATTGTTTTAGAAATGAAGAAAGACGATTGAAAGTAGCCTGTTGTTTAGCACGAACACGATCTTCTATTATTGAAATAATAGCATCTATTGTGCTTCGATCAATGGGACCCGATGAAACAAGTGTTCTATCAAGTTCAACTTTTTCCAATTGCCGTAATAATTCATTTATAGTATGAAATTTTATCTTTTCAGGTTCGAAGTTAAAACGACGTTGGATTTTTTTCAGATCATATATACCATCATAAATAACATCAATATGTACAACTTGTGGAAATTTATAAATAGGATCGTTGAGCAAGTCCATGAGACAATTTAAAGGAATGACCAAATGGAATGTATCTGTTTTTGTAATATCTTTCGATACATATTTGACCAATTCAGATACATTAATAAATATCTCTGTAAATAGAGCTTTAACTCGATCTGGAATAGGCGTTGCCCACACTGCAAGAAATTTCTTTTCATAAATTCTACTAGTAGTGGCAGTCATGTTATAATATCAAATGAAAAGATCTATACTACAAGAAAAAAAAAAGAATAGATATTGCCAATAAAAAGAAAGAAATGCATAAAATAAAATAATTATTTTATTTATGTTTATAGAAAATGTAAAAAATAGGGACTAAATAAGTAGATATTTTGACCTTTCAGAATTCTTCAATTGATCTGTTCAATTTATATATAAGGCAAAAACAATATAGTTAGCAATTAACTTGACTCAAGATTTTCAACTCATATATGAATCTATTAGATCGATAAAAGAATTCAAGAAACCTTACATCTATTTATTATGCATTACATTCAAAACGAAACCAGTATAATCATGCAAAAATAAATTACATTTAAACATAGATAAAATAGTATTGACAAATACATGTGTAATTTGAAAATAAAAAAATAAAGTTTGCTAGGTGTCACGAGCTCAAGTAAATAAATCAAATGAAAATGAACAATTGTATTACATTAACATCTACAAAAAACAAAAATAGAAGTAATTAATTATCATATATGAATGTTCTGAATTTTCTATGTTTTTTATTTATTGCAAAAATTAGATCATAAAATTTCTAAATTAAATATTTCGACGAATTTAAATTCCTTATGAAAAAGCAGTCAGACAAATATAAATTAATACAATATAAGCAGTATCTATACTTGTTTGAGCTAAAATGAAAATAGCAGTTATACATTAACTCTGTTTAGTTGTCTGTTTTTTTTAAGAGGGCACACATCACTGGTCATAATAAACTGTACTTTCTTTCTGTTATCATTTACAGAAGTAATTTCCTTTGTGTTTTGTATGGTGCTATTCCTTACCGATTGATAGCATTTGTTTCCAAAACGATTATCTTTTTCAAATGGGCAAAATTATGAGACGGGTTGGTGAATTTTTAGCACGGAACGTTCAGCACTAGGAATAATCAGCACGCGAACGCGCATCATGAAAAAACTCACCGTGAGGCTCTCGGCCCGGGTTAGAGCATGACCATATATGTACCGGATGGGTGTTGGTATACTAGTCGGTGTGCCTCTCTATGTGTGACACTGAGCAGTGTATTTTGTAACTCATTTTCATCCCCACCTACACTTAGCTGCAAACTTAGATCAACACCAGCACATCAGCAACACCTAAATCTCCATCCATAGTTTCACCTATAACCACATCCACACTCACATCTACACTTATAATCGCCATGGCATGACAG